GTGTCTGCAGTGGTAACGGCAGACTGGGTGGGACTAAAAAGTTCAACCAATCAATTCCAACTTTGCAAGATCTTTTTTTTCCCCAAGAAGTTGAAATTGATTGATTGATTGAACCTTTTTTTTTGCACATGGCAGCGGAGGCCTAAAGCGAAAAGGTTTTATAAAACCCAGCTGAAGGCCTAGGACTGGGGCGACAGTGCGCGTGCCCACAGAGAGGGCTCTGAGTGCCGCCTCTGGCACCCGTGCCATAGGTTCACCACCATGGCCCTATACCATTTCAGACAAATGGCTGTCTAGTCTCTTCTTAAAAACGTCCAGTGCTGGAGCATTCACAACCTCTGGAGGCAGATTGTTCCACTGGTTAATTGTTTTAACTGTCAGGAAATTTCTCCTTCATTCTAGGTTGCTTCTCTCCTTGATTAGTTTCCATCCGTGGCTTCTTGTCCTGCCTTCAGGCGCTTTGGAGAATAGCTTGACTCCCTCTTCTTTGGGGCAGCCCCTGAGATACTGGAACACAGCTATCATGTCCCCTCTCGTCCTTCTCTTCATTAAACTAGACATACCCAATTCCAGCAGCCGTTCCTTATATGCTTTAGCCTCCAGTCCCCTAATCCTCTTTGTTGCTCTTCTCTGCACTCTTTCTAGAGTCTCAACACCTTTTTTACATTGTGGTGACCAAACTGGATGCAATATTCCAGGTGTGGCCTTACCAAGGCATTGTAAAGTGGTAGTATTCTGTTATAGTATTCCCACGGTCACGTGATCAAAATTGAGATGCTTGGCAACTGACTCATGTTTATGACAGCTGCAGTGTCCCAAAATCACGTCATCACCGTTTGCGACCTTCTGACAGGCAAATTCAATGGGGAAGCCACTTAACAACCGGGTTACTAACTAAGCAATTCCAGATTGGTGGCTTACCTGGAGAGGTCCTTCATTTTGATTTCCAAACAACAACCCCTTGAGGGTTTTTTGGGCAGAAAGAAGCTGCAGGGAATCCTCAACCTACAACCATTCGTTTAGTGACTGTTCAAAGTTACGATAGTGCTGAAAAAAGGGAAGTGTGACCAGTTTTCACACCGTTGCAGCATCCTTGTGGTCACATGATCAAAATTCAGACACTTGGCAACTGACTCATATTTATGACGGTTTCAGTGTTCTAGGGTCACGTGGCCCCCTTTGGCGACCTTCAGACCAGCAAAGTCAGTGGGGAAGCCAGATTCACTTAACAACCATGTTACTAACTTAACAACTGCAGTGATTCACTTTACAACTGTGGCAGGAAAGGTTGCAGAATCACTTAAACAATTGTCTTGCTTAGCAAATGGAAATCTGGGGCTCAACTGTGGTCGTAAGCAGAAAGGACTACCTGTAATTGCTCCCAATTTAAGGTTGAACTTAAATCTGGTTCCGTCCAGTCCCGATCCAACACTTTTAACTATACACTACAGCAGTGGTGGCGAACCTATGGCACGCATGTCAGAGGCGGCACTCAGAGCCCTCTCTGTGGGCACTTCTCTGAACTGCTGGTGGCGGGCTGCGGAGCCCCAGAGTGTGCCGGTCGAGGGGCCGGCAGGTTGTGGCTGCTGATGGACACCGTTGGCCCCCATGCGCTCGCTGGCCTCTGTGTGCGGGGGCCGATGCTGTCAGGCAGCAGCCGCCCTGGCCCCTGCCTTGCCTTGCCCTGAGATAATGGCACCCCCACCCTGCCTCGCTTTGCCTTGCCTCACCCCGCAGGACGAACTTCCTACCCACCATCCCACCTGCCAGAGACCCCCTGGATCTCCCCCAACCCTGCCCGGCCCCCACAGGTGTCCCTCCCCACCAGCAACATTGAGGTGACCACGCCCACCTTGGCCACACCTATCCAGTCTGCCATGACCACCACAGCCACGCCCACCCAGTAGGCCACGCCCACCTGGCACCCAGCAATAAATAAGTGGGTTTTGGGTTGCAGTTTGGGCACTCGGTCTCTAAAAGATTCACCATCACTGCACTACAGCAGGGCTTTTCAACCAGTGGTACGGGTACCACCTGTGGTACATCGGCACCTGGCAGGTGGTACGCAACCATCCTAGAAAAGTGGTAGCAGGGGAGGGGAATGAGCTGAACCGGTGGCAGCACCGCACAAACCTGAGTGAGAGACGGCTGGAGCTGCAGGGCTGTCAGGGCTCAGTGGAAGCGCCAGGATCAGCGCCAGGGTCCAGCTGCAGCTCGGCACTGATCCTTGCACTTCTGCTGAGCCCAGAAGAAGCGCCGATCAGCTGGAATGTTGCAGCATCTCCAGGGTCTTGTGATTTATATTCAGATGCTTGGCCACTGATTCATATTTATGACGGTCACAGTGTCCCAGAGTCATGCAAAGTGACCAAAACCTGTTGCAATCACCCAGCAGACAGGGGAAATAAAAACCAAACACCCCCCAACCCACCCCCGCTGCCAATCCTCAACAGAAATGCTCACAACAATGAAAACCTTGGAGGAAGAACACAGCCGGGCGGGCAGGCAGGTGTCTTGCTCGGCTGTGGCTTGGGGGGCACTTTTTTCAGTGCCATTGTAACTTCTAAGAGTCACTAAGCGAACTGTTGTAAGTCGAGGACTACCTGTACTTTATCACTTTTTTCCTTTTTGGGGGGGTCATCAAGTTTTTGACACCTTGCTAGGCGACTGGTGGTACTCAGATGTTGCCATATCCTAACAGTGGTACAATGGGTGAACAGGTTGAAAAGCCCTGCACTACAGCATCAATGGCTAATTCTCTTCCCTCCCTTTTCTTTGTGTCAATTTTTGGATCTCAACCCGGCGACAAGAGAAACTGCTTACTTCAAACCTTTTTTTTCCCCCGGAGAAAGTAGCATTCTGAAAACAAAGCATGGAAAATGAAGACCAACTGCGAAACTTGGTGCAGAATTTTACTTTTCTCCCAATTCAGAAGGGATTGATGGAAATTCCTTTTTATACGTTTCCCCCAAACAGACGCACTCGTGGGGGAAAAAAATCCCGTGTCCTTCTTAGGCTACCTTAGGACCGACTGCTGAAAGTAAGAACGAACAACAGGCAGACTGCAAAGCGTCAGTTATAGTCCGAGGAAGACATGAAGTTTTTCTGACCAAAAACACTGCCTGTAGGATTATAAACATCCTGACAAGCATATAATCACCAGTGTAAACAGCCCTGTGAGCTGTAAACAT